TTTCGGTTGTGTGACTTAGACGACTAGGTAGTGAACGAAGCTCTGAAGAGCCTTCCTTTGAGAACGACCCGAGTCGGGTAGCTCGGTTACCACATGCCCAAAAATACTACACTCAACATTTACTTTTTTACAAAAAAAAATATATTACTATATATTTTAGAATGATATGTGTTACTTATGACTTACATGTGTTATATTATATTAGTTTTTATAACTTATATCATATAACTACTTGAAATATAAATATATTAATTGATAATAATTTTATTTTTCTAATTAATATTAAAAATAATTTTATTATTTTAATAAAGATAAATATAAATCATTTTTTTTATACATACAATATGGATGTTAAATCGAAGCTCATCAAAATAAGATTAATTTGATATATTATATATGTAAAACTGATAAAAAATACAAAAGTTATTAACTTTTAAAATACATATACAATTCAATATTTATAATAAGGAATGATATTAAAATGCAATTAATGCATGTAACATGACCATAAATAATTAACATATTTATGGTAATCCGAACCTAATTATTTTTAGTTTGGAATTAAAATAAAATTTACCCGAGCCTAATAACAAATCATGTAATTTTGCCACATAGGATTCTGAAGTACTAGAAACAGCCACGTAGGCTCAACGCGTTCTGGATTAATATATAGGGGATATAGGGGGATGGAGTTTGAATTTTTAACTGTATTAACTGATAGTTTTAATTTTAGGTTATTCTCAATTGAAGATCTACTTTTACATTCTCCTTCTCAATTTAAGACTCAGTTAACTTTATATTTTGACATAATTATATAAATAAAATACTATTATTTTAAATATGCAAATTAAAAAAAATTAACTATTATTTTAAATATGTAAAATAATAAAAAAATTGCAAGTATTTTACCTTATAAGAAAATTAATTCATATATTTATATTTATGCAATAATATTAATGAAATTTATTTTGGAAGTAAAAAAAATATTGAACACTAAATTTTAATTATGCATAATTTTAATATTATTATACATGATAACCAAAAAATGTAATAACATTAAAAAATAACCTACTTAGAAAAATCACTTTAACCTTTTTTAAAATATATATATATATATTTTAAATATTATTAAGAGTGTTCATATTAAACGTTTTTTCTATAGCCACCCATAGTTATTCACAAAATCTGTTCTTGCTGAATATTTGATGGCTCCATAAAATTTTTGTTGTACTAAAAATTTGATTTTAATTAATCAATCCTCGAAATTGACTTAAAATCTCTATTAATTAAAATCAGTAAATACTAAACATAGTTTCTCTTATATTTTCATTATATTTTTTCTAAGTATAGTCGAATATGATGATAATTATAGTTAATTCGACGGGATTTGTTCAATGTTTTTGCTATATAAACAAAAACTAGTACGATATACATGTACTACAAGGTTATTTAAATATATTAATATTTGTACGATAAATAAATCAACATAATTTATACATTTGTTGTGAAATTAAATATGATTAATATACAAAAATAATAAATATGAACAAAATGATAGTTAATTCAAAACGAAGCCCCATTTCTTTACACTAAATTTGTCAAAAATGACATTTTTATTATAATTTTAAAGTATATACATCTAAATGAAATATTATTTACAATTCTATATATTTTATAAAATACTTTTTAAAATAAAACAAAATTTATTGTATTGTGATATATTTATATTTGTAGAGTCGGTGTCTCTTGTTTATTAAATTTTTAAGTATTTTAAATTCATATAATTTAATAATTTAAAATATTAATTTATGCAAAAATGTATTATTTTGTTACTTTACGAACATAAAAATAAATTATTATATTTAATTATGGTATCCTTTTATATTTACTATTTTAAACAACCCAATAACACTCAATTCCTTATACAATCTATTTAATCGAAATAATATTTCTTAAATTCTACTTTATGTAATACTAAATTTCTATATGGTATTCATAATGTATTAAAAAAACACATTAATAATTTATATTTTTATTATTTTAAAAATAATTTATATTATTATTTGATATTGTTAAATTGATGTGATATAAAATTAGTTTAATTTATAAAGAGAGATGAAAATATTATATTTTGTTAATATATGCAATATGAATGTCAAATCAAATATTGTTAGATATGATTATTTTGATATGTCATATATAAAAAATAAATTTTGAATTAAAAGGTTATAAAGTTTTAAAAATAAAAAGAATACATGTTTATAAGGATTAATACATTAATTAATTTAAAAAAGGTAAGACTGTTATATGATAATTACTTAGAAAAAAAGGTATAACTAAAATAGTTTATGGTAATTTACAAGTCTTATAGTCAAAACCAAACTACTACATTTGTCAATACGAAGTACAAATTTATGCTAAATAAGCTTACTAAGCATACAAGTCTGCCACATATATTCAACGCATCCGGGAATAATATATAAGGGCGATACGTATATTTGGTATTTTTTTATATGTTTTACATAATAAAGAAAAATGGAAGAAAAAGGCAACATTTGAATTGCCAAAAATAATAATAATAATTAAATAAAAAATCCCAATTTAAGTTCCTTACATAAAATAAAATTCATTAAAATGGGAACCTAATTTAGAAGCTTGCTATAAACATTCTCATGTATCATGCAATGATGATCAAATATAGAATGTACAATGAAGCATTGTCAGATTCCACATGAAATTCTTGATATCCATTGTATTTTTGTTTGACTATTTTCACCAAGATACCAGCATTACTATAAATAATGCCACCCCTTTTCTATATAAAAGTATAACCAACAAACCAAAAGGAAGATAAGTTACCATCAAATCTTAAATCAAAACACACAATTTTTTTGACAATCACAAACTAAACAACATGTCAAGAAGAAGAACTAAACATGAGCTCATATCCAATACGAACAAGCGAAAAACAACGTTCAGGAAAAGGTCAACAAGCCTCGTGAAAAAGGCCAATGAGCTCTCGATTCTATGTGGAGTCGATGTTGGTGTGGTAGCCCATAATCGAGAAGGTGGTGAGAACAATGCGGTCCTTTGGCCATCCCCTCAAGCCTTTAATGAGATGTTGCAAAGGTTTCTTAACGCATCTGAAGTGGAGAGAGCTCGAAGAATGGAAACCCACGAAACAAACGTGCAGCGTGCCATCATGGATGAAGTGGAGAATGTGGCGAAGGCCAAGAGGAAAGTTGAGATGAGAGTTTCTCAACACTTGTTGGCCGAGGTGACTAAGGGTAAGGATTTGAAGGAGCTCGATCTACTACAACTGCAAGGAGTATGCTCGTTTGCAGAGGAAATGCTCAAGAAAATAAAAAAGAGAGAGGAGGAGCTCGGAGTTGACCAAACAAATGTTGCATCTACTTCAAATGTGGCACCCCAAAACTAAAAGTATTTTAATTTGCAAATTGATTAGCCATTTATGTTTTATTAAGATTTTAGTTTCTTTTTTTTTTTTTTCTCAGAAAGAAGTTGAAATACAAAAACTATTTTACTATGTTGAACTATATGTATTCTCCATTAGTATTGCAAACCAAATTTGAGTATGGAAAAATGTTATCGTTTCTCACCATTTTGTTGCATTTTATGTCTCTCACATCCTCTCCAAATTATCAAGAAAAGAACAAGAAGGAAAGAGAAAACTCAAATGAAGCCCAAGTGAGGTTCCATCCCAAAATCAATTGTTGGAAGGTGGAGTAGCCCACTAGTCTTATAAATTGGGCTTATTTTCTCTATATAAACGATGTGGGACAACTCAAAAGTGAATAATCTAATATTGGTTAAACCAAAATTTTTCATTAAATGTACTAATGAACAAAAACTCCTTAAAAAATTACTCTATTCAACATGACTGAATGAGCATTCAACATTGAAAGGTCATGACTAATAAGCCTAAACGCTTGACTGGATACATTATGATGAGCGGCTTGAACGCTTATTTATAGTCTTGAAGAGAAGATTTAGTGAATATTAAATTGCAATCGCCGGTCAATTTTTGAATCGGATTAATACGATATCTACTTCAAAATAATCATAGTATTATAGACGTGGAGCGCAGCATTGATGAGTAGTAAATCGAGAAAATCAGTTTAATATCGAATCAAATTGCACCGAATTTTTGTCGCAAACGATTAACTTTCTATTATTGGAGTCTCATATTTATCTTTCCAATTGAAAATGTTACATCTTAAAAACTTACATTGACAAAAATATGCAATTGAAAATATAAGTATTCATCTTTGTTTAAAAGAAAAGTATTACGTGCCGATTTGTCTAACTGTTAAATTATTAGAATTTAAAATCAAATACTTTGTTTAAAGCGAGAATCACGGGTGAGTAATATTATACATCTTGTATAATATTACTCACCCGTGATTCTCACTTTTAACAGTAAATAATCAACAGTGCTAATGAGGAATGTGTAATATCTGAAAAAGAACTTCAATAATATTTCGTACATTCAATATTTTGGTTTTTCATATAAAAATTACCCGAGAATGTGAATTCAATTTGGATTTAAAATATACATGGACACCTGATTTGGTCATTTTTTTTTAGATTTCTCAAAGCAGCAAATAAAATGGATGATTTTAAGTGCAGTTTATTTCTAAAATAATCCTTTCAAATAAATATTTATTACAAGGACAAATTAGCATAGTTTAAGTATATTCATTTTAAAATTAATTAATCAAAAAAAGTTAATTACTAATAAAGAATACAAGGTCAAATACCTCACAAATAAATTTTAGAATAAAATTTTCATTTATAAATTATGATGGTAAATATTGAGATGCATGTATTTTCTAAGGATTCAGCAAATTATTGATTCTTATTATTATTATTATTATTATTATTATTATTATTATTATTATTATTATTATTATTATTATTATTATTATTATTTAAATAATCTGTTTAATCTGTAACATTTGAAATTCGGAAGAAAAAATTATATTAGGAAAATTCTTTAAATGCATTATGCTGTAGATAGGGTTTATAGGTAAACTCTGAAAGGCACGTAATTTTATAAGATTTGGTGAGTTATTGTGCATTTTTCTTAAAAATTGACTTAATTTCCAATATTTGATTTTCGAGAGAGAAAAAAAAAATTGATAAGTAGATTTTGATAGATAAATTCGGAATTATATAATACTGAGAAACTAGTACAACGCCCGTGTATTACACGGGTGTTTGCTATTTTTTCTTAAAATCTAATGAATTTTATGAATTGAGAAATAATTTTATTTTTCTAATGAATTTTAGTAAATATTATTATTTTTTATTATTATAAAGATAAATATAAATTTTTTTTATTTCATATATACAATATGGATGTCAAATCAAAGATCATCAAAAGATGATTAATTTGATATATTATATATGTAAAACCGATAAGAAATACAAAAGTTATGAACTTTTAAAATACATTTATAATTCAATAGCTAATTGAAGGAAACAAATCAAAATTCAGTGATATATTAGTCACTTAGTGCCTCAGTATGTAAAATTACAAAGAAATAAAGGGTTATATTAGTACAAGTGATATTAAAATATCAAAGTTAGCTAAATAATATTTGTGGAATGTCCAAACCTAAATTATTAATTATTAATATATCAATATTATTTGTTCAAACCTAATTACGAAGCATGATTCTTTGCTAAGTAGGATTTCGAAGCACCAGAAGCAGCCACGTAGGCTCAGCGCATTCGAGAATAATATATATGGAGGATTCCGTGAATTATTTTGTTGCATTTTATTCAAAACTTACCTAATATGAGTATTTTACGTTGGGAAATGTTTTATGTACATAATATTGTACATAAGTTGTACCAAAAAAAAAAAAAATGTACATAAGAATGTACATAACACTCACATTGAGTGGGGCCTACCAAAAATAAAAAATCAAGAGGACCACACTCCATGTGAGTGTTATGTACACCTTTATGTACATTTATTATGTACATGTAGCATTTTCCTTTTACGTTTGACAATAAAGTAAAAACTATCTGGTGATTTATTTTACAACAAATACTCTATTAACTGTTGCTCAAGAGCGTTTGGATGAGATGACTTGGGTCTCTTCCAGCTTAACCAGTGGTCTTGTGTTCGAGCCCTAAGAATGCAGCAGTGTCAAAACTCTTGATCGAGAGCCTGTCGCCCTTGTGGTCCTACCCGGCTCGATTCCGAATTAGTTGGTTTCCCTGTGGATCCGGAAATCAGAAGGTCCCTGTACCAAAAAAAAATACTCTATTAACTGTTGACAAAGAATATTAGGCTCATAACTAAATTGGTGTGTATGTAATAATGTAATAGTATTGTCCTTCTAAAATAAATATTACTTTGATTTTTTTTAGTTGGTCCCCAAATTTTGATTAATAAAAAAATAACCCCAAATAAAATTCTTCAAATACTTGAAAATAACTTCAATATAGATTCCCTTTCATTAATAAGATTTCACATGACAGAATTGGTGGTTGGGGCATTTTTACACAAAAAACTGTTTTTGGCGGTTTTGACCAAATAAAAGAAGTTGAAATGTTTTTTTACTAATTGGCTTTTAGTTTACGAGTAATGCTCACCTATCCACGGTGGATACACGTTAATATGCTCACCGTTTACTTGACATACAAACATTGGTAGTGTATTTTTTTGAACATATTAACATCATTAATATTTAAATGTCACATAAGCAATGAGCATATTAACATATGTCCATCGTAGGTAAAGGAGCATTATCCTTAACTCGGATTGGAATTAGATAAAAGAAGTTGAAAATAATTTCCAATAGTTTTATTTGAATTGTTAATTAAATATACAAATTCAGCTAGACAATTGCCCGCGTTCTTAATTTGTGTCTACCCTTCTCAAATATAAATCCCTCCATGTATATAAATCGAGAATTTTTCGAGCATGTGTGTTAATACGTGGTGCTTTGTAATTATATGTGTCGAATTCTGGTGCTTCGTAATCCTATATGTCAATATATAATATATAATGTGCTTCTAAAATTAATAAAATTATATATCAATAGAAAAAATATCTATAAAGTCATGAAATATGAATTGTAAAGTTATTAAATATAAGATATGTAAATTGTACAAGCAAAGCGTTCCCTTTAGATAGAAAAAAAAAAAATAATATTGTAGTATTTGTTAAAGGTATTTCAATATTTAAATAAAAAAAATTATCTTTTTGATTTTTTTAGAATTTTAAGTATAATTTTTTAACTAAAATGAACTTATCTATTAATACTAACTTAAAATTAATGAGAAGAGGGTAGGACAGTGCCTACTCAATTTTAACCGCTCCATATTTTTCTTATCCAGCTCACAATATTGGGAAGGGCCTGGGTCCAACATAAAGAGTATACTTATTAACTAGCAGGGCCAGATATTGGGCTCAGGACAATCTGTCTTTAGCCCAATTAGATATGAAACTCGTGCAGTTTGAATACTGGCACCAAATGGCCCAGCAACAGTAAAAATCAAAAGCTAGGCCTAGCACCTCTTTTTTGTTATTTCTGGATTAATATTTACCTAATGAAAACAAAAATTGATCACCAATAATTGCAAGCAATACAAATTAAAAAA